TATTAACTACATGTACAAACGTATATTCATACGGGAACTACAACGCATTATAAGGCGCCTTTCTAATCTGGAGAACGTAATTTAAATAGGTGATACAAATAAAAATAAAAAACTAAAAAGCAAAAAAGTCATTAAAATGAGTGTCCTTTTATGTTAAGTGGGTTCGGTTTCGTGTGTTGAATAAACAGCTATACTAGGATAGAAAGGCGACTTAATTTGGTCACTAAATCATGCATCGATAACATATTTGTGCGCTCAAATCGGTATGATCTATTCTTCGCAGCGCTTCGATATTATACCGGCGGACCACCGCATGATTGCACTAGATCGTGTGTAGACTAGTCGCATATACAGGTTCAGCAAAAGTATATCACAAAATTAAATAACAATATCCTTAATATTAAACTTGACAAAGTTGATTGGAAGGGACTAGAAGACTTGGAAAATGCTAATGATTATTTACAAATTTTATGAGATGTCAATTTGAGAAGTGGTACAAAGATTCTAAATATATAAAAAAATAAGCGTATCTCTAAGACATACAAAACCGTGGATAAATAAAAATGTAAAAAAATTATGTACAAAAAGAGACCAACTAATTGCAAAAGATAAAAGATCCATATAATTCAATGTTACACTTAGAATAGTTAATATAGTTCTAATTTGAGCATCGTATGGTTCTAGTATCGATAACTTAAGGTAAGACAAATAAGTGTTATTACCCTTAGATGCCTAAACAACTGAACCCATCTTAATGGAATTAAATATAGAAATAGACTTAAAGGACATAGGCTATCTTTTAGCGCGAAAACTAGGTGGAAATAGGGGATGAAAGTTTGCATGGAAATTTTTCATTATCAAAATTTGTTTTTAGACAATTGATAAGATAAGTATAAATAAATATTTGATAACAGACGTATTCTAAAAAAAAAGAATTCTGCTCAAACGATAGTTCCTTTGGTATAGTTACCACGCGTATAAAATAAAAGCTAGTAAGTATATATATAATGCAGCCAACTGATCTTACAATGATTAAAGTTAAATCATGACATTTAAAACTTACTAAAAAAAGGATTGCCGATTTAAATGCCACCGTAAAGTTCATTTAACATATTAATTCTCAGCTTACACGGCACTAATTTCGCTTTGTTTACGTAACGGCATCAACGATTGATCTGTGTCTGTAATCGCTTGAAGTTGTTTTTACAAAACTTCGAAGACAAATTGCATGATAATAAATTTGAAAATCAAGTACGAGAACATTATCAGTAATTTTATTCGAATGTCACAGATATTTTAAGGTATTGTATGTGAATAATGCTGTTCCTAAATTAGTAAGGGTATAAGTTTTTACATCTAATAGTAGTCATCCGATAATAGTTGAAAAAAATGCTTTTGTCCTGCTTCAATTTATTATGATTAATGTAAAATGACCCTGTCAGGTAATTATTTAGGGACCTTTCACTTATAAATGGATGAATCCAATATTTTTCTGTTTTCTACGGCTTCGCACGTAGAGTAATAAAGCAAGCAATTGCTGACTTTCCAAAAATGTCATCGTACTTTGCATAAGTGACGTGTAGTTTCAAAGAGAGCTGCCCTAACCTGCGCCGTTCTTATTCGGATAACACGGAAAAGTGCATAAGCTAATTATCCGGGATTTTCATGTCATTCCAGACCGGAAAAATCGGTCTGCCGGACCTGAAAATTCAGTGTAGTGCACAAGCGCCCTAAGTGTTTAAAATTATATTTTTGAATGAAGTGAGTAATATCTTTGATTTTTAATTATTTCTGTCTAAGATGAGTTCTACGGAGATAAGACTGAAAAGAGAATATACAGAGAAAAAGATTTAAAAACCGTTAAATGTAATTCGTGAGAAGAAGGAATTGACAAGACAAATATACTAAAATGTTGGAATTGTTGGATGAGTTGGGGAGTTTAAAAATAAATACGAAAATGATTACTCAGAACAAACGTGATTTGAATACACTGGAAGCTGTCGATGAGTACGTTTACCTGGGACAGATAGTCCGATTAGGTACCTAAGTCCCACTTCCAGAGAGAGGTAAATCGACGGATCCAACTCGGCTGGGTAGCGTTCGGGAAGCTACGCAGTGTATTTTCGGAACATCTACCGCAGTGTCTCATGACGAATGTTTTCAATTGTTGCATGTTGCCAGTGATGATATACGGAACTGAGACGTGGCCGCTTACATTGGGCCTCATAAGGAAGCTCAATGTCGCTCAGAGAGCAATGGAAAGGGTTATGCTCGGGGTTTTTTTGCGAGATCGAATCAGAAATGATGACATTCACAGAAAAACAAAAGTCACCGACATAGCCCTAAGAATTGCCAACCTCAGGTGGCAGTGGAAAGGGCACATCGCTCGCAGGACTGACGGCCGTTGGGGCGGTAAGGTCCTGGAGTGGCGACCACGTACCGGGAGACGCAGCGTTGGCAGGCCCCCCACAAGGTGGACCGACGATCTGGTGAAGGTCGCGGGAAGCCGCTGGATGCGGAAGGCGCAGGACAGATCACATTGGATATCTTTGGGGAGGCTATGCCCAGCAGTGTGCATCTCTCGGCTGAAATGATAATGAATGATGATAAATCATTCCCAGACAAGAGCAATGTGATTAAACTTTATCTTGTTTTATAAAAAGACAAGTTGTTTTGCTACGACTTCACCTGCGATATTATAGCCTATCCTACGCGCGTATGATGTAGCTTCCAGTAGGTGTTTCATGGGTTTCTTAGCCTAGGCTCTGCAAACAAACAATCGACTCTTTCTTCTTTATAGTATAAGTAGAAAACGCTTTCACTAAAGTTATTGAAACTTTACTTACAGATTAAATTACTCTAAATGCGCATTATCAGCGAGAAAACTATAAACTTTAGACTTTGAATCCTTTGCACAGAACTTTACATTAAATCACGTTACAATTCTGTTTTTCATTAATAGCAATATTAAGTCACTTACTTTATTTACTTTATCGTAAGTTACGTAAATATGCAAACAAAGTCTCATGGATAAGCTACAGGCGACTTTGGTAAACAAGAAATTACACCGGGAATTATATACCTACACAATGTAACGAGGTATAAGTATCAATCAGTCTTAGGTTTCATGGAAAGGAATAGAGTAGGTGGGAAAATATTGAAAATCAATTACCCTCAACCAAATTTGAAAATAAATGCGTTGGGTTATACGCGTAAAATTCAATTGTGTAGGTACCGAGATTATACTTCAAAAAGTTACGCTCGATTAGGATTAGATATGGACCTGTATTGTAATCAAGTCCGAAAAATATTTATTCAAATAAACTTATCTGATATTGAATCGACCAACATTATTTCACATACCACTTGTTCATGACATCTGTTGGTTGATAAGATGACCGAGCGAAAAAACTTAACAACTCTATTAGAAGTAACGACGTTTACAAAAATCATGTCCTTACCAGATTAATATTAACAATATTGAATTGATTATGTGTTATTTTCCATTTAACGTAAAATAATAAAAGAACTACGAATTAAAATTTTTGAGATATAAAGATCATAGCTAAAGATTTTTCAATCTCGACATCTCTGTATGAAATAAAACAGGGAGACAAAAGCAGCCCTTGCCGAGTTTCTTGCCGGTTCTTCTAGGCACAAAGTCTCTCACCGATGATTTAAAAACCGATGGCATAGAGTTTAGACTTTCATAAGTGCTTGTATACAGCCTTGACTGAATAAATGATTTTGACTTGATAGAAGAAAACAAAATGGTGGAACATCCATAAGTCCAAGTCGGTAAGTAAGTAGTAAGTAATCGTTGTTTTTATTATAAGAGGAATTAACTAATTAACTTATTCGCTTCATCCTTTGTCTTGTGGCACAACGGAGTGTCAGTTGACCTTATTCGCGACGTCGCGAGTGTCATCTGGGCGGGCGGCGTGCAGGGCGGCGACTCGATCGCCTGGTACACGCCTGCCTGGCTCACTTTCAGTCATAGGTACTGTCCACAAAACAAATGTTTTTTCTCCAAATGACTCGCAATAGTGTTGATTAAGTATTTAAATACGGGTTTTTGTTAAATTTGCCTTTGCAGTATGCACATGTGAACATTGCGGCCACAACCTTACACACTTTAAATTTGTATTTTGACTCGACTGTCACCTGTTTTGTACATGTTTATAAATACAAAAAAGAAACAAGTTTCCCACGTAAGTAATACCTACAAAGATTTTATGTTTTGAAATTATAAATAAAACTAACGTAAATTACTTTAAGGAAAATAATACTATAGGTAATAACCGCTACTCTTAATGTTATAGTTACTGTAGTTTTGATTATCGATAATGAAGTTAAGCAAAGGTTCCGTCAACACTATAAGTAAAACATGACTGCTATAACATTGAACTAAAAATAGAAGAAACAAGTCTTATTATGGCTTGGATAAACAATTTTCTTATTGCAATGGGGGGACCGTGGAACATTTGTAATTTAAGTAGTTATTCATAGACATACACTTAAAAATTCAAATATATTAGGTAATGATAGGCCAGATATGTCCATAAATACAGTGCAAAATGTGGAAATATAAAATCGGAACTGTAGAAGGGCTCAACATTAAGTTTCTGCCCCAATTACAAAAAAATGTAGATCCAGACATGCTAGTCATACTAGTGCAATGCGTCGTAAAAGAATCTATTGACACAAATTTTAAAATAGATTTTCAATTCCCAGTGGTATTTTATGCTAAATGATGCATCACAGTTAAGTTTTTTTTGTCCACTATACCATAATCTATTTTAGTAAAGCAACCCGAAGGCTCGTTACAAAGGAGACATCGTTCCATAATGGTTTACTGTTGAGACTTGCGTGACTTGCCATTTGCCAGGGTCTGCTTTTCCCAGCCGCAATCAAAGGCAGCTCGGCTGTCCTGGGAGCAGGGGCACTGAACAAATTACTGAGAGATTCATTAACAAAAAATGGAACAAACTTAGCTAAAAATGGAATCAGGGTCGTCATCCTCCAACCAAGACCCTCGCTTCGAGTTCATAGGATCATACGCAGTGAAATCACTGAAACTAAAACCAGAAAAATGGCTGCGAGTGTTAGGCTTGGAGGAACACAGGTCCACTTTAAAGGATTTCCTGGACAAACCATGGCCGATTCTTCTTGTAGTGGTATTGACACACGCGAACCAATTAATGCCGGTGGTGTCGTTCCCATGCTACTTGAAGAACAAAGCGGTTTACTTCGTGAAGAAGAAACCGGATGTAGTACCGAAGGAACATTGCGCCGAGATGCTTGTATTTGGTAAGTGTATTGAAACTCATGCATCTGTAGGAAAATAAAATAAAAAATATTCAGTTTGTAACAGAACATTCAATTTTCTAAGAGATTTTATTAAGTTATCTTAGATTTCTGGTATAGTTACAATGCACTTTCGACATATTAATTAATTCAAAGTTCAGCAGCTCAAAGACAAACCCCTTAAGTATTTACAGTTGTAAAAACTTTATTGGTCACAAAATTTGATAATTTTGTTTCTGGTAATAACTTTACTTAGTGCTAATACTTTTTCTCAGTCGATTGTGCCAATGATGAAGTGACGATAGTTCAATATGAAATATATATATGCGTGACTCAAGTTTTCTCCCGTATATCTATCAAATTCAGATTTGTAACTGTGATATAATTTCATGGTTTATTACAAATTGTTTATTGTAATACATGGTTTGTTTATTTATTACAAAGTGTAAATACATGGTTTATTGTAAATAATTGTCTCAATAGAAGGTGTGAACTTTAGAATTTTTAAATGAAGGTACTCGTACAAAGTCAAAATTATTTAAATATGAAATTGTAACTACTCGTATATTAAAACATTAGAAGCAATAATGACTTTAAACAACAATGCGAAATACGACAATATTTATTTGTACCTGAAGTAATATTAAAGTGTGTCTGTCTGTTTAGGCGACTTAGCACCAAGGTTGATAGATGAGCTGGCATCGTTGGTAGATGAGGTGTTTGTTCCTTTGCTGTCTAACCCTCTGAACCATGAAGGATGGCCGCTAGTAGTCTCACAAGATATTTTAAAACAGATCCACAATCTAAAAAGCACTGTTTATGAGGTAAGATTATATATCGCACATTGTGAATGTTACTAACCAAAAACGACGTATTTTTTACTTTTGGCAACATTTTTCTTTGTTAAGAATAAACTTTAAAATGCAAAGATCCCTGTGAACGTAGTTTGCATAGAATCTACTTGGTGGCGTAGTGACGATACGTTGTTTAGAGGGGCTGATTACAATGTCTTGAACTTTAAACGCTCATTACTGAAAATAGCATTTTTTGCATTGTGTCACTATCGTTCTCGACGTACGATATATGTACATGGATGCTTAAGTGCTAATTGAAAATTGCAATGTGAAAAATCTATACTAATATTATAAAGGTAATTAGAAATACTAATCCGGGCATGAAAATTCTTTCACCTATAGAAAGCTACATCATAGACGGGTGACAAGCTATAATTTACGCAGGAAAATTAGCGGTAAAACGGCCATTATTAATTTAAACTTTTATTCCAAAGAAACAATGAATCATCAACATTTCAGTATAGTGAATACGGAACTTGTAAAGGATCTGAAACGCCTGAAGATGTCATAATTTTTTAAAAAGCCTACACGTCATAAAAATGTTTAAAAGTAGTTTTGGTAGATAATAAGTAACATAGTGCATATTTTTCAAACATAGTAATTATTACCATAAAATAAATAATGTTTTAAACCGATTTCTATTTATTAATAGATTCCATAAGCGAGTTATCTACATAAAATATCATCAAACGATTTAAACTATTTCATGATAATTTAATAGGTAAAAGGGAAAGTAAACGGTCAAACCGTTCTTCCAATGCCCGTCGGAGTGGAATTGGTACACGATGCGGAGAAACAATTGCATAAAGGTGTGGAAGTTGATCTCTACCTGAAGAGTGCCATCGAAGGTGTCGTCATCAAGTGGGCACAGCAAATCAATGACGTCATGATGGACGATCCCACACAAGCATTCGAAAATGGACAAAATCCATTACCAAGAGTTGGTAGGTTTTAGAGTGGATTGTTTAATTTCTGATAAATTGAAGAATTTCAAAATAAATGTGGGATGATATTTCGAAATAGGGAAGCGACATTGTTTTAATATTTTATGTTTACTTAATTGATAATACAGAGATAAGAAAGAGAATTGATATGTAGGAGTAACGTCCGTCGGTGCAAAGGTAATTTAGGTTGAAAGCGTGTCGTGCCTGGATTGCGAATTGATTTGAAAACAATTTCGGGCACCTGAGACTGATGAACTTTTAGGCAATTTTGTCGGAGGTGTAGAAGTCGGGGGAGACCAAGACATCAATTTTTCTGATCAGATTTAAAGTGTTATAGGATAATTATGTTAGAAGCCATAAATATGAGTAAATTTTCTGAACGCCAAGGAAGCAAAAGACGTGTGTGAAGACCATTCCTCGTGCCGCTCCGATATTTCTATCAAATCTCTATTTAATAGCATAAAAAATTACACTTTACAGAATTATCATTTTGGCGGTCTAGATTGAGTAATCTGAATTATATTTACGACCAACTACGTACCGAGCGGGTCCGGTGTATGGCAGTCATCTTGGAGAAAACAACTTCTGCATATTACCCTTGCTTCAGCAGACTGTTTAAAAATATAGTATCTGGTAAGAGCTAACCAGCAAATTGGTGTCTAGTTTCTTATTCACTAAATCTTAAATGTAATTAATATTAAAAAGTTTATTTTCAAAGAAGACAAAAAAATATATAAAAATATAAAATATAAATATTTAACAACATCACATACATTGCTCAGATTCCAAGATGAGTAGCTAAAGCCCCCGTATTATGGAGTATCTGAGACAACGAAGGTACCACAACACCCAGACCCGAGTCAATATAGAAAAGTTTAGAAAAGAAAGAAAAGAACCCGGGACCTCAGAGATGGCGACACCTTGAAACCGGCGTGCGAACCACTCGGCTACGGAGTTTTATAATACAAGATTGTGCCGAATTTATCTATATCTAATTTTATAATTTATACGTAACCAACTAACTGAGAATCTGAAAATTGGATTCTAAAATTATAAAATTGCACTTTGTGTTTCGCTGCCATTACAGTTTGTTAGTGAGCATTATTTTCTGATAGAAATACACATTCATGACAAAAATGATAAACTGTCGCAGCTAATTGGATAGATTATTCATAATAACGCAATAAGGAATCGTAAGTGTTGAATCGTATGAAACTGCTTAATATAAATATTCATATTTTAGCTTTGGCAGAGGCAAGAGAAATAGATCTTTACTTACATACATTAGAAAAACACTTCCAAGCGTTAGAAGATACTGATTTCACGGAGTGTCAGCCTTTGTTTAGACCGCTGTTCCATGTTATTTGTATGATCTGGCGAGATTCTAAGTATTACTGTAGTTCTTCTAAGTTGATGGTACTTCTTAAGGAGATATCCAATCTACTGATTTATCAGGTAATTTATTATGTTTTTTGAAAAAAAAAAACTGAAGGAATCATATTATATTTAACAACGGTCGAATGTTTTACTTGCATACAATGCATTTGTATTTATTCAGTTTTTTGTTGTTAATAATATCTAATTTCTCTTACATTATTTTTAACATACATATTATTTTACATAATAAGAGTATTAAAGTCTTTGAATTGTTTTTAGGCTAAAAAATGTTTGGATCCAAGTACACTATTTCATAGCGATATTGATGAAGCCACACAACGTATTCAACAAACGATAGACATATTGAAAAAGTTCCAGTGCACTTTTGAATACTTCAAGGACAATCTGCATAAATATTTTGTCGATAGAAGAGTGGTACCTTGGACTTTTCACCCTAACGTCGTCTTTGAAAGGCTCAATAAATTTCTAGATCGACTTAATACGATTCAGTGGTTCTTCAAAACTGTACTAGAATTTCAGAAACTTGAGAAGATAGAAGTAGGTGGTATGAAGGGGAGAGTGTTGAGCTTACAAATCCGTGAGATATCTGCAGAATTTGAAGCTTTCTTTCATAGTTTTGCATCCAAATCTTACGACGTATTGGAACCGGATGACGAAACTTTTAATACCGACTTCAAAGAATTCCAAGATAACATTGTCGATCTAGATTTGAAATTATCAACGGTCTTAGTGGAGTCGTTTGATAATTGCCCAACTTTAGAGGATATTTTCAAGGTAACACAGATAATTAATTAAATAAATTTTATTTAAAAAATATTTATTTACTTAATTGAAATATCTTTTATTGCAGCTTATAGATATAGTGGGATCTGTTTTAGAACGACCGTTAATAAAGAATGAATTTACTGCAAAATACGGAGAAATTATCGTAATGCTGGAGAAAGAAATTATTATTTGTGAAGTAAGTAAAATAATTATTAAACTTGTCAATGAAAAGTTCATAATTTTATGACAAAGTGTCATTTATTCTAGGGCGATTTTTTTCACTAAACGTAATATTACATCTTGTAGAAAACTGCTTCATCTCTTCAAATATTCTAAGCTTGAGTGAATTTAGACTTAAAAATAGGTAACAAGAAACTATCTTTATAGGAATTATTCACCGAGCAAACACAACGTCTGCAAAAATATGGGATTATGGAAGTAGACACGTTCCTCCCACCCATTGCAGGGGGACTCCTGTTCATGACCATGCTGGCTGCGAGGATCACCAAGCCCGTAGCCAGCTTTCGCAATTTGCCGCACCCGTAAGTCACCGGGGTGGGGCAAATTGCGAAAGCTGATTACACGGCTTACAACCATCTAGTTTAGACTTTAAGACCAATAGTGAGGTGTTCATTTTTAATCACTTTACATCACATCATAGTTTAGTTGAAACTTTTTACTCTAATGCCCACTATCACAGAGCTAGATGTAAGAAATAGAGTAGTTACTCAAAATAATTGCTTGGCAATAATTTTATTTTTTTCGTATGTAGGATTAAGGGTACGGAAGAAGCGATCAAACTTTTCGAAAGGTACGATAAACTTATTAACGATATACAGGACTTCAAAAGAAATTATTTCAATGATTGGACCATGAATATTCCTAAAATTATTGAGAGTAAAACTAAAAATTCTATCATTGCAAGACAAGGGTCGGACCTCATTTTAAATTTTAGTCCAATGGTAAGTCGAAATCATTCTTAAATTGCAATTATCCATGTGGACTCCCCTTATTTTATCGCTTAATTACAGCTTTTAGATATTTTAAAAGAAGTGCATCATCTACGAAATAATCCTGATGTACAAGAAGGACTACCGAAAGAAAGTTTAATTTTATTTGAAAAACAAGAAACATTCAGACAATATAGAATCAACTTGGGGATAACTATTGATTGGTATAATCAAATTCGAAAAAATAGTCAAAAAGTTGAATTCGATCTTGTTGAAGACGAAATAAAAGCTATTGATGAAAGGATAGCATTGGCTCAAAATGAGTTAAATTGGAATTCAGATGGTAATTAAATATTAACAAACAAGTAGAATCACGTAGGTGAAGTGTGCAGATTGTAAATGTTGGTCAAGTATGTAATTTGAATTTTGCAATTTTTGAAAACGCGGGAGGGACAATGTCTCTTGTATTTACCTCGGAAAAAGGTCGTAATGCTTGAGTAATTTACTAACCGTTTCAAATTTTTTAAATTCCTACAGATTAAAATAGGAAGTGCACACTTTTACACCATGTGACTCTAAGACATAATTATACAGTAATTATCATTATAGGTATTATACTAAAATATATTAACTTACAGATTTATGGAAGCAGTTGCAAGAACTGCACACGCTAGTAGGAAATTTGTTTGAACGAATGTCAAAGATTCAAGACAATTTAAAAGAAATTAAAGCTGTGATGAGAGAATGGGCTACTCAGCCATTGTTCGAAAGAAAAGAAGGGAAAAAAGTAAAATACCATATAAATTAGTCATTTTGGTTTGTGTATCGTAAATAAGTTTTGTATCTATATTTGTCGGATTTTAGGATACTCTTTTAAACTTAGATGACAGAGCGGAAAAAAAGAATCATCGTTACTCTGATATTAAAAATTCAGCAGAACGTATTGAGACCTTATTGAAAGAGAATATGGAGTTATTCAATATGCAAGAAAACCAAGACAGTGAAATTTGGAGAAATTATGTGTCTTTCATTGACAATTTGATGGAGGAGTCTTTGTTTAAATGTATTGGTTGCAGGTATACACTTTTATTGAAACTATCGCGGGATATTGCATTTTTATAGCTAATCTATTTTTATGAGATCCAACTGCTTAACAATCTTAACTTAAAATATACGAGATAAAGTTATCATTGAAATGGTGATTTATTTTTAACATAGGTATCATTTATTTATAGCCTTTTTTATGTCAATATTATTCATGTTGTATTAAATATTTCTCATTTTTTTAAATCAATAGGTAGGTCACTTGAAACACACAAATCACTTGACACGAAACTACAATAAGTGAAAGTTTTCTGTATGTTAGTTATTTTCTTTCGTGCCGGGTACTGTAACTAAAAAACACGTAAAAACACAGTGAGGAATATTTAATTCATTGAGAAATACTAGATTCTCACAAATTGATTGTTCTAATTGGTTTTGTAATTTTCAGCTTGGGATATATAGTAGAACATATGAATCCTAAAAATAATTTAGCACCATTATTTCAAGCACAATTGGAATTACTTGAGCCCGATATGGTGTTTTCTCCAACATTGGATCCAAATGATGAAAAAGGTTTTACTGCATTAATCAAAGGAATCATTGACGATATATTGATGATGTCTAAGTTAGTTAAAAGAATCGATACAAAAAAAGGAGAAACTTATGAAGAAGAAATCATTAACAGTGAAGACATTATTGAAATGAAAGAGGAAATTTTAAGTGGGATTGAAAAGGTTTAGTTACTTGCCCTGTTTTTGATATTAGATATTCTATTTAAAATACCGACATAACTTAATTTTTTTTAGGTTATTGAAGAAGCAAATGAATTTTGTAAAACTTTTGAAAATTTTGCCTATCTTTGGCTAGAAGAAAGAGATGCAATAATGGAAATATTCTTGACTTATGGAAGAATATTACAACCTGAAGAAATTGACCGCATTGGATCTGAAGATAAAGACCTTCCACCGCCAACGCCGTGTCCTCCAAAAATGGAAGCGTTCAGAGAGCAGATAGATCATTTTGAGAACCTGTTTATGGATATTGAGGATATGGACTCTTATAAAGTATTCAATTGTTGGTTTCAGGTGCGTAATGAATTACAGTCGTTTAGTTTTGATTTAATTTGTCACAATAATAACATACGGAAATTTTACATTTGAATGTTTCATTATAGGTGGATGTAAGACCATTCCTACATGCTTTACTTAATACTGTGAGAAAGTGGGGTAATATGTATAAAGAACATTTAGTAGAAAATGTAACTACGAGTCTCAGCGATTTAGCTGACTTTATACGAAAAGCAGATGAAGGTAACTATGTTTAAAAATCAAGTCCTAGTAAACTATATTCGTAGTGAGTTCTGTGGCGTAGTGAATAAGCGCCTGGAACCGCCATCGTTATTGTTGACTTTCGCAAGGGTCGGTCACGGGAAGGGTGACCAAATATTATTATCCCTAGCTACTACGTATTTCCGGAGACAAGCCGTTGGTCCCAGCTGCATTTGCAGTCGTTAATACTCTCCGATCCGTATTGGGCCTGCGTGAAAGGTCATGGCCCATCCTCCTTAATCCCTGCAGGAGGGACGTAAAAGGGTTGACGATGAATGACTGAATAGCAGTGAGTTTGTTTGGTCCTAAATATATTCCTAATTGCAGGTTTGATGCAACCAGTACCTGAAGGTGATTACGGGGCGTTAATAAATGTCATGGGATATTTGATGAATGTGAAGGAACGTGCTTTGACTACTGATGAGATGTTTCAACCTCTTACTGAAACTATAGAACTATTAAAGTTTTACGATATGGATATACCGGAAGAAGTTAATGTTTTGCTCCAGGTAATAATAGACAGAACAATAGTGTTACTCTAAAACTTACAGGTAAATCTAAATTTACTAAGATTTTTTTTAAAAGAAGAAAATTTAATAAGAATTTGTGTACGTATCTCTATTTATAAGCATATTGAAATCGATAAGACAAATGAAGATACCGTGTACAAAATATATTCTAAATTTAGTCCATTAAAGCTGGCTTCTATTATATTTTAGGAGTTACCAGAACAATGGCAAGCCACTAAAAAGCTCGCCCTCACAGTGAAGCAACAGGTAGCTCCTCTGCAAGCTGCTGAAGTGAGTGGTATTAGAAAAAAAATCGCTACATTCGATGCTCACGTCACATATTATAGAGAAGTGTTTAAAAGATATGAGGTTTGTATATGAAAATATTAAGTAATTATCATTATATATAGTGAATAAATATTTCAGTATGTTTAGTTCTCACTACATATAGTCTCAATTTATAACAGCAGTTGGAGCAATAACACCTGGAATTTACTCATAAAAATATAGTACGATATATGTAATATATCTACAATATTTCGCATTGCAGTTCTTTAAGTATGACTGCGAGAATCCATACGAGGTCATGACGAGAGTAGACCGTGAGATGTTATATTTGGAAGAAGAAATGAAAAATATACAAGAATCAGGATCATTATTTGAAGTTAACGTACCAGAATTTAAACTGTTGAAGCAATGTAGGAAAGAACTGAGAATGTTAAAGGTAATAATTTCATTAATACTTATCTATTCAAATTTTTTACAAATACTTTTGGTTTAGAAAATATTTTTTATTATTATAGCAACTTTGGGATTATGTATACATAGTCCGAACAAGTATTGAGGATTGGAAGACCACACCTTGGCGTAAGATAGATGTTGAAAATATGGATATAGAATGCAAAAAATTCGCAAAGGAAATTCGATTGCTTGACAAGGAAATGAGAAGGTATATTGATATAACATTTTCAAGATTTGATTGAATTTAAATGTAACTTAGGCTATAGTAATTACCTCTTATTATTATTTAAATACAGTTGGGACACTTATATCAGTTTAGAAGCAACAGTAAAGAATATGCTTACATCTTTAAGAGCAGTAGGTGAACTGCAAAATCCCGCAATTAGAGAACGTCACTGGGATCAATTGATGAGGACCACAAAGGTAAGTATTCATGTTTTCTTGTACATCATACTATATTATCATACACGTGCCATGTAGCCCGTAAGTCCGGTACTCGTGGTGCAAAGATCTACTGGAATGGAGAAAGTGGGAACATAAACGACCGCGACCGGTTAGCAGACCACAGATGAGATGGAAGGATGATATTAAAGCGGTGACGGGACAAAATTGAATTGGAAACATCCCAAAATAGGGAAAAGACGGAGACGATTGAAGAAGGCCTACGCCAAATTGGTTGAGGAAGGCTTGACATGATAATGCTGTCCATCATAATAAATGTTCTAAACTCTAACAATAAAATTTATATATATTGTAAATAAAGTTCGTTGTAAATACATCATAATGTGTGGTGAGCACGTTTCATATTATCCAATTTAAAATGTCTGGGGCTGATGCGTTTTGCATGCTTTAAATGTGTAGCATGAAAATCCGCTTTGAATGCTCATGATTTTTTCAGTCTCCTCATTGGCTGCGATATGTGTGTAAATACAGATGAATCGATGTTTTTTATGGACGCCTATCATGTTTGTCTTGTTATTGTAAATAATGTTTGTGCTTCACAGAGTTTAGCTGCATTGCCACCTGAGCTCACTGTAAGTATTATCTTCGACGAGTGCTATTATAGCATTGAATGTCTAATGCCTCTAGAATTATATAGTAATTAGAGTCAAAGGGAGTTGGTTATCAAGTAATCAAGCTTATTAAATACGGACTACTGTGTTTAGTAGAATAGTCACATTTCTGGGCAGGTACACAAGTTAAGTATGATTGTGAAGTACTAACAGAAACCAGAAACACCAGAATTAATGTGTAAATAAAAATGTGAATGCTACATCATGTTTAAATTGTTTTATCACATTAAAATGGGAGTTCATACAGTATTCATGAAAGAAAAAAAAACCACAAAGTTATTCCTTAAATTTAAAATATATGGGTGTGGGTCACTTTGTACCGAGAGCAGTACTTTTACAATAATCGTGATGGGTAGTTTACGAGTAATTAATTACAAACAATAATTAATTACTCACAAACTAGCTACAAGCTCACTATCATCTGTACCTATTTACCTTATTGCTAAATGAGACAGACAGGGACAGTCTTTTGGTTTTAGAAACTCGTTAAAAAATAAGCATGCTTTGGAGAGTGGATATTAGCACTATTCTATCTTTAATGATATTGTATGCAAATGTTTGAACCACTATTAAATTGAGTTCCACGCTTTTGTTATCTTTTTATTTGCTTCAAATTTGTTCAGTATTTTTCTTTTACCACACGCAAAACTTAAATAAGTACACTAATAAATGGAAATTTAAACATAAATTAAACCAATTTTGTAGAATCTAAAAGTTAATAGTCTTTAGTTAGGTTTTAGGTAGTGCCATTGTTATAAAGGAACTATTTATAATTTAAGCATTGTATCATTCATCATTCTTAGGTTAGAATCGTGATGGATCTTAACACCACTCTTGCCGATTTGTTAGCGTTAAATTTACATGAGTGTGAAGAGGAAGTTAAAAACATAGTAGACAAGGCTGTTAAAGAAATGTCTATGGAAAAAATTCTCAAAGATCTTGATACCACATGGAAAGGACTTGAATTCGAACAAGAGATCCATTCGAGAACTGGTTGTGTTTTACTTAGAGCCAGCGAAGAACTTATAGAAACTTTGGAAGAAAACCAGGTTGATAGCATAATTAAAACGTGCGTTTTATAAGCAAAACTTAGGACAGATATCGACACTTCTGTTATTTTACAGGTGCAACTACAAAATTTAATAACATCCAAATTCATAGCTCATTTCTTAGAGGAAGTGTCTGCATGGCAACAGAAACTTTCAATAGCAGATCAAGTAATAACAGTATGGTTTGAAGTACAACGTACGTGGACACATTTAGAAAGTATCTTCATGAGCTCAGAAGACATTAGGAAACAGTTACCAGAAGACTCGGCGAGATTTGATAGAATTGATTCAGCTTTTAAGGTTGGTTAAGATGTCGCGATTCGTTATTTTATAGATGAAGCGGCAAGAGGCTATATATATATATTTTTTTTTCTATTGTCTCTTTGTAGATTTTATCAACGGAAATGTCAAAAACACCGAATGTCGTGAAGGGGACTAATAAAGAGGGGTTGATCGAAAAGTTGGATTTATTACAAAAAGATTTGATTATTTGCGAGAAAGCTTTGGCGGAATATTTAGAAACTAAGCGTCTAGCCTTCCCAAGATTTTACTTTGTGTCCTCAGCAGATCTACTTGACATACTTTCTAATGGCAATCAAGCTGATCTTGTGATAAGGTGAATGCAAATATTTCAATTTCTTTTAATTATGTATGATTATATAACTAATAAAGTGTTGTAACTGATGCTTTCAGGCATCTAACTAAGCTGTTTGATTCTATAGCAAAACTCAAATTTACTGAAAGTGAAAATCCAGAAGAAAAAGTATCATTAGGTATGATAGCTAAAGATGGTGAGTACGTTCCTTTTCATGGGACTGCTGATTGTACCGGTGCCGTGAGTATTTTTGATAGTTATTAGACAGGAATGTTTTAGTTCTGTACATCAGAGCCAACTGGTCGGATGTCCAGTTTTTTCGTAAATAACTTTCGAGCTCTGTAATCAATATTTCACTGTCTCATTTATTTACAAAGTTAAGTTTAATGAAATAGTCGGATGTCAACATGAATTTAGAGCAAAAACAACTGATTCCTTCAAAGAAGGGTCTAATGTTCATATAAAATATTCGTTTCTCAAATTTTCTTAGAGTGTAGTGTCAGATGTTAACTTCAGATTTTGGTTCGGGGAATCCACATTCTTTAATGGGCGTTATAAAGAGAAAAAACAACATTCGCGTCACGTGCACTGACAACTCGCGGCCACGCCGCTTTATAGGAACAAAAGGTGTCTTTCGTCTCAAACATCAAATATCTTTTGTTCCTGATATTTTGTATTAACATTTTGTATATGTTTTTTTGAAAACGTAAAAAAAAATATATATTAAATCATTTCATAGGCAAAAAGTAAATATATCGTTATATTTTGTTATTAATACTAACTATGAATTAAAAGGCTTTTCTTCTTTATGACACTATTTATTACCTTACACACTGTAAATATAAATTGATAATTACTCGATTTTAAGAAGAAATATACTAATGAACAAAGATCAAAGTGGTGCAATATCGCAAGTTATTTGTGATTTTTTGAATTAATTAGTAGTTCATGAATGTAAAACAATACTTATTTATATATTGGCAGCTAATACCAACAAAGAAACCTCCAGTTGAAGTGAAAAAATGGAATAGTTTCTTATGTCGCTTAAAAAGATTAAAAAAATACCCAATATGACCTTAACATGTCTGTATATATACTTGTATTTGATTGCATCTACATAAATCCCTTACCTATATACTTTCCTCTACAAATTAAATCAAATTTTAAGGTAAAGTTTTATAATGGTTATGTAATGTAGAGAATATCGAAGTCGAATATTTTAGAGTCATCATAGTCTAGAACTAAAATTTTGTTATTTGTGATGATTAAACCGTAGTAAAAACCATTTCTGAGATGGTAAATTGTCTTTGGACCTATAGCGTGGCGATCAAGAATAAGCAGCATTCAAATGAGAATTACTGTGCCATTACATTTATTTAAATGCATTGTATTTGTCATAGTTTTAATACACTGGCTCTTTACTTGCGTTTCTTTAAAAAGTTTTCCTTATTATTAAATTTTATCACATCCGACTTTTCATAGAATATCATGAAAAGTCGGATGTGTATTTGTATGAGCAGGTCCAATATCCCCGGACCGAAATATCTCATTTCCACATACTACTTACTGGATTTATTTATGTTTCCTTTCAAACCATTTAGTCGGATCTAAATACAAGGCCTAGAATAATTGATAGGGCGCTATATTTTTTGGAACCAAAACAGTGGATGTTTTTAGATTATGTAAGAACTAGTATATAAAAAAACCATTAACAATTAAATAGTCATTCGACACATAAAGATTTTTCGTAATTTTAATAGTGTAAGATAGTAATTAACGTTTTAAAGTTTAAATTCCTTCTTCTGTAAAGTGTCAAAAATGGACATCCGACCAGTTGGGTCTCATATACAGAGTTTGACTTATAAACTTGTCTCCTTTGCAGGTGGAAATTTGGTTAAACAGAATTCAAGATATTATGAGATCCACTATTCGTCAATATTTTGGAGAAGCTATCGTTTCTTACGAAGAGAAACCAAGAGAACAATGGTTGTTCGATTTCATGGCTCAAGTTTCACTGTGCGGTTCACAAATTTGGTGGACAACCGAAGTGAATATGGCTTTTTCGAGATTAGAAGAGGGATATGATAATGCCCTGAAAGATTATTATAAAAAACAGCTAAACCAACTTAGTACACTAATCACTCTTTTAATAGGGGAACTCAGTAAGCAAGATCGTCAAAAAATTATGACTATTTGTACGATAGATGTACATTCAAGAGATGTGGTCAGTAAATTAATTCAAGCGAAAGTAGAAGCTGGATCTGCATTTCAATGGCAGTCACAACTCAGACACAGGTTTCTGTAATAGATCAAATAAGTAATAAATAGAAATCAAGTGCACTATCTCACAGGTTACTTTATTTTCATTATTTAACACATTTTCATTATACACATATTTTGCTATGGTAGAATAACTTCTATAGTAAGCTATTTAGTCTTTTAAATATTAATATTAGTCTCATTCCATATTTATCGTTTACTTCATTTCTTCGTCTCCCACTCATGATTACCTAACTTAGTTATTCAATTAAGAATATACAATATGCACTAGATTGGATATTATATGTAAGATATAATTAAAATTTTAAAATCTAATTTACAGATGGGATGAAGGAGAGTTTCATTGTTTTGCTAATATTTGCGATGCTCAATTTAAATATAGCTATGAATATTTGGGTAACACTCCTCGGCTAGTTATTACACCATTGACAGATAGATGTTATATTACATTGACACAGGTTGGCATAATATATTTAACGACAAATAATTTTGATATGTTCCATAAAGAATAGCTTAACTAATTTTAATGATTTTAGTCCTTGCATTTAATAATGGGCGGTGGTCCTGCTGGACCTGCAGGTACTGGTAAAACAGAAACGACTAAAGATTTGGGACGAGCTTTGGGTATTATGGTGTACGTCTTCAATTGTTCGGAACAAATGGACTATCAGGTATGTTTCGATATACTTTGTTTCTGTTTTCTATTTTTGTTATTAAGAAAAAAACTATTTGATTGTAAAAATTTGTAGTCATGCGGCAACATTTACAAAGGCTTAGCGCAAACTGGTGCTTGGGGGTGCTTCGATGAATTTAATCGTATATCCGTTGAAGTATTATCCGTAGTAGCTGTTCAAGTAAAATCTGTACAAGATGCGATAAGGTAACTATTGTCTACTTCAAAATAATATGTTACTTTACTAACACCCAGTTGCACAAAATATTAAGTTTTAATTCGTCAGCTCTGACGAATGTTCTTTTGAATGTAATGTCGTTTTAAACTAATGACAATTTTAATTTAAACGTTTGTGCAACTAGCTGATATACATATTTATTTTAATTAGTTTTATTTACGTAAGTATGTGTAGTAATAGTATTTTTGTCCTAGGGATAAAAAGGAAAAATTCAACTTTATGGGTGAAATAATTGTATTGGTGCCTAGTGTCGGTATTTTCATTACAATGAATCCAGGCTACGCTGGCAGAACGGAATTGCCGGAAAATTTAAAAGCCTTATTTCGACCTTGCGCTATGGTTGTCCCAGATTTCGAATTGATCTGTGAAATTATGTTAGTAGCGGAAGGTTTTCAAGAAGCTAAGATTTTGGCTAGAAAGTTTATTACACTGTACACTTTATGTAAAGAGTTACTCTCAAAACAAGATCATTATGATTGGGGATTGAGAGCTATTAAATCTGTTCTTGTAGTTGCGGGTTCTTTGAAGGTACATGTTTTTCACATTATTTGAATTAGACGGAAAAGAAGCTATGAAATTAATAAATCATTCTTTTAGCGAGGAGATCCGGGTAGACCCGAAGAAGAAGTACTCATGCGAACCCTTCGAGATTTCAATATACCTAAAATTGTAACAGATGATATGCCTGTATTCATGGGTCTTATTGGTGACTTGTTTCCTGCTCTAGAAGTGCCACGTAAAAGAGATCTAGATTTTGAGAAAACAGTAAAACAAGCCGCTATGGATTTATTATTGCAACCTGAAGACAATTTTATTTTAAAAGTAGTTCAACTAGAGGAACTATTAGAGGTTCGACACTCGGTGTTTATTGTAGGAAATGCTGGCACAGGCAAAACTCAAGTGTGGAAGACATTATTTAAAACCTATCAAAATTTGAGAAAAAAGCCAATTTATAATGACTTAAATCCTAAAGCTGTAACCAATGATGAATTATTTGGAATCATTAATCCTGCGACTCGTGAATGGAAAGATGGACTTTTCTCAGTCATAATGAGAGATCAAGCAAATTTAGTCGGAGAAAATCCTAAATGGATAATCCTAGATGGGGATATAGACCCTATGTGGATTGAGTCTCTAAACACTGTAATGGATGATAATAAAATATTAACTTTGGCTAGTAACGAAAGAATTGCTCTAACACCGACAATGAGACTTATGTTTGAAATATCCAATCTTCGTACGGCCACACCTGCTACTGTATCTAGAGCTGGTATTTTATATATTAATGCTCAAGATTTAGGTTGGAATCCGTAAGTGCAGTCATTATATGAAGCAGGTTAGAAAGTAATCAAGTATTAAAAACGCTTTTCTCTTTTTAGGTACGTCACAAGTTGGATTGAAACTAGAAAAATTCCAGCAGAGAAGTCAAATCTAGTCAATCTTTTTGACAAATATATTCCCTCGTGTCTTGAAACAATAAGAACTAGGTTCAAAAAAATTACCCCAATCGCAGAGATGGCGCATATTCAGATGTTATGCCATTTACTAGATTGTCTATTAGTACCTGAAAATATACCAGCAGAATGTCCAAAGGAATGGTACGATATATTCTTTGTATTTGCTTGTGTATGGGCGTTTGGATCTGCTATGTTTCAGGACACTGGTATTGATTATAGAGTCGGTAAGTGGATTATAGTTAAGGAATAAATGTTTTCTTCTTTCCCCGTACTAAACCTACAACTCTTGCAGAATTCACTAAATGGTGGGTAAATGAATTTAAAACAATTAAATTTCCACCCGGAGGTACTGTTTTTGATTTCTACATAGATCATGACACGAAACAATTTACACCATGGACTGAAAAGATACCTAAATTTGAGTTAGATACTGATATACCTTTGCAGGCAAGTTCCGAAATCATAGAAACAAACAAAACGTACGGTTGTAAAAGGTTTTATTAAAATAAAATATTTTATGATATTTATTTTAGGCAGTATTAGTTCCTACTGCAGAAACAATAAGAATAAGATTCTTTTTGGACCTGCTTATGAAAAATAAACATCCAGTTATGCTTGTCGGAGGTGCAGGATGCGGTAAAACAGTTTTAGTTAATGAAAAATTACAGAGGTAAAATCAAATAATACCAAAAATAATACCGATAATTTTATATACCCACCAGACAATATAATGATATAAATGTTTTTTTATTATTTTACAGTCTTTCTGAAAACTATGCAATTCAATCTGTTCCTTTTAATTTCTATACAACATCGGAAATGTTGCAAAAGATTTTAGAGAAGCCTCTGGAGAAGAAAGCTGGACGAAACTATGGTCCCCCAGGAAATAAGACTCTCATTTACTTTATAGACGATATGAATATGCCTGAAGTCGACGCTTATGGGACTGTTCAACCTCACACTATCATAAGACAGCATTTAGATTACAATCACTGGTATGATCGCACCAAACTATCTCTGAAAGATATACATAATACCCAATACGTTTCTTGTATGAATCCAACTTCTGGTAGTTTCACCATCAATCCTAGACTTCAGCGCCACTTCTGTGTATTTGCTATAAGTTTTCCGAATAACGAAGCATTGAATAATATTTACCATTCTATATTGAGTCAGCATTTGATGAATCCAGAACTTAGGATCAACCCTCAAATAACTAAGTTGTCGCGTAAGTATATTTGCTGCTTCTTTGTAGTGCCATTATATAAATGTTTATGGATATTACATTATAATTAATTTACTTGCAGTTAATATTGTTACTGCGACGATGACCTTGCATAATAAAGTATCGCAAGTATTTCTTCCAACTGCTATAAAATTTCATTATATTTTCAACCTCAGGGACTTGTCTAACGTATTTCAGGTAACATAAATATAAACTCTATGGAATCACCTGTATATGTAATAATTGTTTTTGTTTGTTTTTAATAGGTTTGTAATTATTTCTTCAGGGTTTCTTATTCAGTACAAATGAATGTTTGGTGAATCCTTCTGATATTATGCGCCTCTGGTTACATGAAACTCATCGCGTATATGGCGACAAGCTTACCGAAGACAAAGATATTGATGCCTTTTTAAAAATGCAAGTCGACATTTGCAAGAAGACATTTGAGGTAAATGCCTAAAGAATATTATTATTATTTGATTTATTATGAAAATAAACAAAATTTACAGTAAAGTTAATAACGAATATAAAGTCAAAGTTAAAATAATCTTTATTCAAATAGACTTCTTAAAAGTACTTTGAAATCGTCCAAAATTTTTTTCCCTACCACTCGTTCAGGACATCTTTTGGATAATAAGAAGAACAAGCAAGAAACTCACCAGCTCTAATAGGAGTAATAACATTCACAAAAACTATGTCATTACCAGATCAATACATTATAAATATATGTATGTATGTATGATAATATATATATGTCTCTAGGAAATAGATGAAGGTGCTGTTTTCGAAAAACCAAACATCTATTGCCATTTTGCCGGTGGTATAGGAGAACCTAAATATATGCCTATTGAGACTTGGGAACAATTGAATAAACTTCTAACTGAAGCTATGGCAAGTTACAACGATCTTATAGCTGCTATGAATTTGGTGCTATTCGAAGATGCTATGATGCATATCTGTAGGTTGGTATTTACTTAAACAGAATTGGTAAGAAGGACTAGTGGTTGAATTTCTGTTTAAATTTAATGAAATATTACATTTTCCTCTATACAGAATCAACCGTATTCTGGAGAGTCCAAGAGGTAGTGCTCTTTTAGTCGGCGTTGGTGGTTCGGGAAAACAATCTCTATCTCGATTAGCAGCTTTTATATCTGGTTTAGAGGTTTTACAAATACAACTAAAGAAAGGCTACGGTGTGACTGATCTCAAGGTATGACTCCTCTCCTCATCTATAACAAATATATCTTTACATTTATTTTGTTATTTAATGATAACACTGTTACTCCTGTATAAATTTTAGAATGAACTTAACGGTTTGTATATCAAGACTGGTCTCAAGAATGTTGGCATTATGTTTTTGATGACAGATGCCCAGGTAGCTAACGAACAATTTTTAGTACTTATTAACGATCTTTTGGCATCTGGGGAGGTAGCGGACTTGTTTCCTGACGATGAAATTGAAAATATAATAGGCGGAGTGAGGAACGAGGTGAGGAAAGGTTGTTTCAAGGTTGTTTTAATAGTAAACTTACCAAAATAGAAAGTGCGTACAAAGTTTTGATACATTTCAGGTTAAAGGTGCTGGTTTACCTGATACGAGGGAAGTCTGTTGGAAGTTTTTTATTGATAGAGTAAGGAAGCAGTTAAAAGTTGTATTATGCTTTTCTCCAGTTGGCTCTACTTTGAGAGTGAGATCTCGAAAATTCCCCGCATTGATCAATTGCACTTCTATCAATTGGTTCCACGAATGGCCACAAGAAGCACTTGTATCCGTGGCCATGAATTTCTTGGAAGAATTGCATGTTTTACCAGTAAGTAAAAGAAACTTTAACCATCCATGGAGTGATGTCGTCTGAAGCTAAAGTTGTGGCCTTATCGTACATGTAACTGATATCAAATCATATTTTCTAATTTTAGGTTGCTTTAAAAGATTCTGTGGCAAGATTTATGGCGTATGTTCATACTTCTGTAAATACAATATCTAAAGCTTATCTTGCCAATGAAAGAAGGTATAACTATACAACGCCAAAGAGTTACTTGGAACAGATTAGTTTGTATGCAAAACTTATAAACAACAAAACAAGTGAACTCCAAGCCAAAATTGTTAGGTAAGCAATTATAATAATGGTTTAATTAAAAAATGGTTAAAATAAAACGTTATTTCCATCTAACTTATATATTTTTTTCTATATAAATTTATTGATAACTTGGTAAAGGTTGGAGAATGGCTTAGAAAAGCTACGATCCACAGCAGTTCAAGTAGACGATCTTAAAGCTAAACTGGCTGTCCAGGAGATAGAATTACAACAAAAAAATGAAGCCGCAGATAAACTCATTGAAATGGTTGGTGTAGAGACTGCCAAAGTTCAAAGTGAAAAGGCCTTAGGTAAAAAAACATGTCTTCAAATAAAATAAACTTAATAACTACAATACAATAAAAAAATGACACTTTTAACCATCATAAAAATTACAGCTGATGAAGAAGAAGAAAAGGTAGCAGTTATAACCGAAGAAGTATCTAAGAAACAAAAGGATTGCGAGGAAGATCTTATTAAGGCTGAACCAGCTCTGATTGCTGCTCAAGAAGCATTGAATACCCTGAACAAAGCCAATCTTACTGAACTAAAGTCTTTTGGATCACCACCTGGTGCGGTAACTAATGTGACTGCTGCGGTTATGGTACTAATGGCGCCAGGTGGGAAAATACCGAAAGATAGAAGTTGGAAGGCAGCTAAGGTAATAATTTCGTTATAAATTGAGAAATAAACTTTAGTACCTATACTATATAATGCTGGACTATGTAATGAGTATATAATTTTATAGTAGTTGGTTTCTTGCATAAAAAAGGAAATAAATGTCTATTTTCTTAATTTTCAGATTGTAATGGCGAAAGTGGATGTTTTTTTGGAGTCTCTTATTAATTATGACAAAGAAAATATCCACCCTGATGTAATTAAAGCTATACAACCATATTTAAAGGATTCCGAATTTGAACCAGGTGATTAGTACTTTAAACCTATATATGGTAAACATCATGTTATTGGAAGCTTGTTAATGACGATTAATTTTATTTTCAGAGTTTGTTAGATCAAAATCTGCTGCAGCTGCTGGTCTCTGTGCTTGGGTGATAAATATAATCAAATTTTATGAAGTATTTTGTGACGTAGAACCAAAACGAAAAGCGTTACAAGCTGCTAATGCCGAGTTAGCTGCAGCTGTGGAAAAGCTAAAGTCCATCAAAGCCAAAGTAGCTGTAAGTTGAGTTTAAATGTTAAGGTTATGTTTGTTAAACGATTACTATAATAATGAAAAGTAATTTGTCCACAAGTAGATTGTCAAATTTACTAATTTTACTTTCTCAGTCCTTGGAAGAATTATTGGCAACTTTGACGGCAGACTTTGAAAAAGCCACGTCGGAGAAAATGAAGTGTCAGCAAGAAGCTGACGCCACAAATCAGACTATTCAACTTGCCAATAGATTGGTGAATGGCTTAGCCAGTGAAAACGTGCGTTGGGCCGAATCTGTTGCTAGGTGAGTTTTAATATAGACAATAAAATTCCATAAACTATTTGTTAAGACACAAAAACGTAACTTACTTATTTTAAGTTTATATTACGGTACAGTGGACATGGTAGAAAGTATCGTTTGTTTTCGAACTTGATACGTTCAGAGGACGTGCATGCATAGTATGGCACGGTGTGATGGAAAAAGTCCTCTGGAACCGTTAAAGTGTAATTTTTTCCATACTCCATTTTCACGTACAGTTCACCGTAGCAATGCTTTTCTTATTCGCGTGTCTAAATTAGTTAATGCCACTAACAAGGGTCAAGATACTTCTCTTGACATATTCTCGGACAGCTTGTCATACATAAACGCAATTATAGCCAACACCCATAGTGCTATTGATTGATATTTATTATTTATATTGTTTTATGTTCTCTAGTTTGGTGATTTTGACTTTATGTTTTTTGCACTTCAATGTATTTAAATAACATTGTTCTTTACTAAGGTCAGAGATATTTGTTTATTGTTAAATTTACCGCTATCTGTGGAGGCTTGTCATTTACTCTCATCAAATAGTTTGTAAGTTACTTTGTAATTCAAGCAGTTAGCCACCCTAATAAAAATAAAAAAATAAAAATAAAATTTTGATTTCAGTTTCATGCAGCAGAACACTACATTGCCAGGCGATGTGCTTTTAGTGTGTGCGTTTATATCATACGTGGGATGTTTTACTAAACAATATAGATTGGACCTTATGCACAAACAGTGGCTTATGTTTTTAAAGACTCTGGAGGTATACTCATGAAGTACTTGTTGAATTGAATTATTAGAATATCTCTTGTAATAAATACGTTAAATCAATATCGTCGTTGACCCTGAAGGTACTTAATATTTAATTTAATTAATTGGCCTTTTTATCCAATAGCCACCTATACCCATAACGGATGGTTTAGATCCTCTTACGATGTTAACTGATGATACATGTATAGCTATGTGGCAAAACGAAGGATTACCATCTGACCGTATGAGCACTGAAAATGCCACAATTTTATCGAATTCAGATCGATGGCCCTTGATGATTGACCCTCAGGTAATTATAGCTTTTTCGTATATTTTAATAACTCCAAAAAAGCACTTTATATTAGAATTTAAAAAATGTCTATAGTCAATTAAATTATTTTTCTATTATTATATCAGTCTCATAAGTTATTACTTTTCTTTATTTCAGTTACAAGGAGTGAAATGGATCAAACAAAAATACGGAGACCAACTGCAAGTGATACGTCTAGGTTCAAAGGGTTATTTGGAAGCTATAGAGAAAGCTATTATTAAAGGAACCACAGTTCTTTTCGAGAATATTGGAGAAACTGTTGATCCAGTGCTTGATCCATTGTTAGGGCGAAATCTTATAAAGAAAGGAAAGTAAGTATATTGTAAATGAAAGCTAACTCAATACCTATTTTAATATTTTTCTCCATTATTATATACGATTTATACACGAAATTATTTCGATATTTTATTAATTTCGTTTATTTTATTTACCTAGAGCAATCAAGATCGGAGATAAAGAAGTAGAATACAGTTCAAACTTTAGACTCATCTTACATACAAAATTGGCTAACCCACATTACAAACCAGAAATGCAAGCGCAAACAACATTAGTCAATTTTACTGTCACACGAGATGGTTTAGAAGATCAGCTACTAGCAGAAGTAGTGAAAGCTGAAAGACCTGATCTTGAAGACTTGAAAGCGGAACTAACGAAACAACAAAACGAGTTTAAGATTCAGTTAAAGAAATTAGAAGATAATTTACTTTCCAGATTATCTTCAGCAGGAGAGAATATATTAGGTGATACAGCACTGGTCGAAAATTTAGAGACTACTAAAAAGACTGCAGCTGATATCGAAAGAAAGGTTAGTTTTACTAAATTCATCGACTTATATTGAGAATGATAGTATTTTTGTAACTATAATCAGTTTATATTGTTCAGGTGGCTGAAGCTAAAATAACATCTCAACAAATCGACAAAGCTCGAGAATTTTATAGGCCAGCAGCAGCCAGAGCGTCTTTATTATACTTTATTCTGAATGACTTAAATACAATAAACCCTATATATCAATTCTCCCTTAAGGTAAGTCTTTTTGAAATCAAATAAAATGTATGCTATGCTTTTGAGTTATTGACATTCCAATTACAGGCGTTCAGCGTTGTGTTTCAAAAAGCTATTTCTAGAGCTGTACCGGCAGATGAAGTAAGCCAAAGAATAAAAAATCTAATTGACTGTATTAGTTACTCAGTTTTCCAATATACTTCAAGAGGTTTATTTGAATGTGACAAACTTATATTTGCATCCCAAATGACATTTCAAGTAAGAATACTTATACATATATATCGAAAATCAAATATTAAAGTCAAAATTATGATTAATGATTAATATCCTCATTCTTTAACAGATACTTCTAATGAGTGAGGAGATATCACCCGTTGAATTAGATTTTTTTCTCCGGTTCCCAGTAAAGCCTCATGTCACTAGCCCTGTTGATTTCCTTTCCAATCATAGCTGGGGTGGTATTTGTTCACTAGCTAGTAAAGATGAATTCAGGAACTTGGACCGAGATATAGAAACTTCTCCTAAGAGATGGAAGAAAATAGTAGAAATGGAGTGTCCAGAAAGAGAAAAATTTCCTCAGGTATTATGCTCAGCTTAATTTTTATAATACTTTTAATAAACAATGAACAATGTGAAATACAGTATTTATGAGTTTTTAATTATTCATCTTATTGTTACTTAGGAATGGAAAAATAAAACTGCTTTGCAAAGATTGTGCATGCTAAGAGCTTTACGACCAGACCGAATGACATATGCAGTAGCGTAAGTATTGAAATTTTGAAATAATAGGTTTTTTCAAATATTTTTTCACATTTGAAAAATATTAATGTATTATTCGGTGAACAAATTTCAGAGCCTATATCGAAGAAAAAATGGGTTCAAAATATGTGGAGAATAGAACTGTAGAATTTAGTAAGTCTTTTGAGGAGACGAGTCCAACCACACCAATATTCTTCATACTATCTCCTGGGGTGAATCCTTTGAAAGATGTGGAATCATTAGGTAAAGTTATGGGTTTCACTTCGGACAATGGTAATTTCCACAATGTATCTTTGGGTCAGGGACAAGAGATTGTGGCCGAACAGGCAATGGATGTTGCTCTTGTTCAAGGGCACTGGGTGGTATTACAGGTAACTAATAATTGTGATAATTTTACAAAAAGTTGTAATTATTTTTTCATCGATGTCTTTCATTCCTTTGGTTAATTTCCTTTATTTTCCATCCCATGCAGAATATTCATTTAGTAAAGAAATGGCTACCCAGTTTGGAGAAAAAAATGGAAGCCTTCGCCAATGGGTGTCACGAACAATTTCGGTTGTTTATGTCAGCAGAGCCGGCAGCTACTCCTGCTGCGCATATTATACCACAAGGTATTCTGGAATCGAGCATTAAAATCACCAATGAACCACCTACTGGCATGCAGGTAGTAATATTATTTTAATATTTATACGGAGTAAAACTGCTTCATTATAGGTATGGGCTTCTTAAAGATTTTTAAATTAAAGGTAACATGTTATGATTTCAGGCAAATATTCACAAAGCGCTTGATAATTTTAACCAAGAAACACTCGAGATGTGTGGAAAGGAAGCTGAATTTAAAGCTATTCTGTTTGCATTGTGTTACTTTCATGCTGTCGTAGCTGAAAGAAGAAAATTCGGACCGCAAGGTTGGAATAAAATTTATCCATTCAACGTTGGTAAGTGGTAACGTGATAACGTATTATTGGTAGGTGATAGGTAGTAGGAATGAGGACTGTAAATGGAAACGATTTATAAAAATATGACATATACATTTATAAAAAAGAATAGTGTCGTTCCAGCCAGTCGTCAACAGTACCAATACAGCGATTCAATGTAAACTTTAATTTCTTTCAGGTGATCTAACAATAAGCGTGTTTGTGTTGTACAACTATTTAGAAGCAAATTCTAGAGTACCTTGGGAAGATCTTAGGTATCTCTTTGGAGAAATAATGTACGGAGGTCACATTACTGACGACTGGGACCGTAGATTGTGTAACGCTTATTTAGAAGAATTGATGCAACCTGATCTTGTAAGATATGCATCCATTATTTATGTTTGTATTTAGCAGATCACACTTTTATTTCTTATTACATTTTGTTTAGGTGGATGGTGAACTGCAGTTAGCACCTGGATTTCCTGCACCACCAAATACTGATTATTGTGGTTATCATCAATATATTGAAGACGCAATGCCACCGGAGTCGCCATATTTATATGGTCTGCATCCTAATGCTGAAATAGGATTCCTCACTACTACTTCTGAAAACCTTTTTAGAACTATATTTGAGATGCAACCGAGAGACGCTCAGGCATCTGGTGCTGCTACTGTAACCAGGGAGGACAAGGTATTTCATAAAATTTTCATTTTTAATATCTTGGTAATAAGATCAAGTGTAAGAATTATTGCTATATTAAAAAAGTGAGATAAGAAGAAGAAGAAGTGCTTAGCATGAACAAAAGTGACTATGTTTTTGTAACATTATGTGTAATTTGTTATTTTGCTTTGAATATCCCAGGTAAAGCAAATGGTTGATGAAATAATGGAGAAGTTGCCAGAGGAATTCAATATGGTAGAGATAATGGGGAAAGTTGAGGAGCGGACGCCATATGTGATCGTGGCTTTTCAAGAATGTGAGCGAATGAATTATTTGACTGGGGAGATGAAGAGATCACTTCGAGAACTCGATTTAGGGCTTAAGGTAAAATAATAATAGAGATTAACTATTAATAAAACAGTTTTTTATATGTCTATTAGTAAGAGTTTGTTTCTTGCGTCATCTGTAAAAACATTTTTTACAGGGTGAACTAACCATCACTTCTGACATGGAAGAATTGGAGAATGCTTTATTTTTAGATCAAGTGAGTAATATAATTATTTTGAAAAGATATTGTAGATTTAAACTTTCTTTGTAGTAGTAAAACAATGACTTGTTACATATATCGAAATCCGTTTTATAATTTTAGGTGCCTGTTATTTGGTCTAGCAGAGCGTATCCATCATTGCTGGGTCTATCAGCTTGGTTTGTAGACTTGCTACTCAGGCTAAGAGAGTTGGAGACGTGGGCCACTGATTTTGTTGTAAGTATAATTTGAAGTTCATGAAAAGCTGAACATTTTGAAGTACTAACTTCAGTTAGTAGTATCACTTTGACGTATGAATATTTTACAGTTGCCCGCGTCAGTATGGTTAGCTGGGTTTTTTAACCCTCAAAGTCTTTTGACCGCCATAATGCAAAGTACAGCTCGCCGATATGAATTGCCATTAGACAAAATGTGTTTACAATGTGATGTAACTAAAAAAATGAAGGAAGAGTTCACGTAAGTATTTATTTACATACACAATACACAGATGTAACTCGAATACCATTAGAATTGAAAATTGATAAAATATCAAAATATAATTGGCATGTTAGATTGTGTTTTATAGAAATTTAGATGAAAATACTTGAGGCTTACAGCATGGTCTTGGTGTCGTATGGTGTCATGCACGCCCGGAGCTTAACGGCACATACTAAAATCAGCGCCTCAGGACAGCAGCGCGTCAGGAATTCTGAACCAAGATAGCAAATTCAAAGCAAAGCATTTTCACGACGAGCATATAAGAAAAACTTTTGATGTTTGAAAAATTAAATAAATCGTTTGATTTTCCTTCTCGCACCGTTTGATTTTTCTCGATTCACAATACATTACAACCTACATACCTAATTTTTTAAATTATAACTTGCTCGTCTTCAACTTGCTCTGCTTCAGAAATCATGACCTTCTATGAACTCTTCAATATCTACACTTAATGAGGAAATAATTTAATACTTTCCTTTTCTATATCGGCTTCAGGATCGACTTCAGGTTTGGTTTATATAAACGCTTCGCTTGGTGTGACTCCCACAGACTGGGATCACGTTTCGTGTTACGTGTTCTTCAATCTGGCAACCTTTAGTAACACTAACACTTGACACTGCTCTTAATGCTGTTCACTTTAATCACTGCATGGACCGGCATCCTAATGCGTTTCTCGTCGTACGACAGCATTCTTGATTGCAGGAATGCTCCGAAAGATGGGGCTTTTGTTCATGGTCTTCTAATGGAAGGTGCTAGGTGGGACGTCCAAGCAGGGATTATCATGGATTCGAGGTTGAAAGACTTGTTCCCACCGATGCCAGTCATCAATGTTCGGGTATGAGAAAGATTAATAATTAGTTAAGAATAGAAACATAATGCAGGTAATCTGACAATTCAAAGGTTATTTTTTAATCTTCCAGATATCTTCATTAATAAAGCGAATTATATTTTTACGATTTGTTTATTTTTTTCTTTGCACTCGTTACTTTTATTTTAGTAGCGTGCTTTTTACTACACTTCACATTTATTTATTTTTTCGGTAAAATAGTTATCTAAAATCTGAATTTAATATGTATTGTTTGCTAGATTATTTGAGTAATTTCATTTTGCCATGGCATATTTAGCGTCAGAAAAATTAAACTCTAACCGATCACCTACTTAGATAAACTTTTTGGTGATACGAAGTATGAGGAACTCTCTTGCTGGATTTGACATACACATATACTATCACAATTTTTACATAGGTATAGGTGCTCGAAAATATTGCACAAAGGTCATTTTACCTTGGCTTCTGTTATATTGAAACTTCTTATTTTCTTATTATTTCTTATTGAAGTTCTGCAGTGGAGTGGTAAGATAACTTCATTAAAAGAGATGTGATGAATAAATAAGGCTGCATGTCGCATTAAAAATTTAATGTGCGTCATTGTAGCGCTTCTAGATTCATTCATTGTAGAGCTTATTTTTCTAAATAAACTAAGCTTTAAATTTTGATAAAGTCTAACCTTTTTTACTTGAAACAGGCTATCACCCAAGATAAGCAGGACCTCCGGAATATGTACGAGTGTCCAGTGTACAAGACGCGTACGCGAGGCCCGACCTACGTGTGGACCTTCAATCTGAAAACCAAAGACAAACCAGCCAAATGGACCCTGGCCGGTGTTGCCTTGCTGCTGCAGATATAGATTATGAAAGGCGTAATTCTTTTGCTATATAGCAATAAAAAATAGAATGCTAATCAATAATAATTCATTCATTTATATCTACTTAGTCGAATTTGTGTAGTGTTAGCATGGGTCAAATCTTGCATTCTAAAGATTCACTTCACGTGTACGATGGAGGAAACGATTGCATACAATCGTGGGTTTAAAATATCATCATCATCAGCCCTGTGACGTCCCCACTGGGCCATGACACTTCACTTGGGCCCAATGCGGATTGGTAGATATTAACGACTGCAGACGCAGCCGGGACCAAAGGCTGAACGTGCTAAGCTTTTGGTGAAATCAAAAGCTACCTTACAGTCACAAACAACTCCAAAAATAATCTATGTATTTAGGGCAATTTTTTTTAAGGTGATCGTTTTTTATTTCCAATTTCCACAATAGAAATACTTCCTTTAGTTTTAAGTTTTTTACACATTTAATGTTGCTTCATTATATTACGATATATGTATTTGTTTTTTTTTCCAATATAAAGATGGGTGACGTAAAAATATCATCTTATCTGTTCACTTCGGAAGGCACATTCAGTCGTTGATTCACGCTGTGTTTGCCCACCAATCCACTCTGGGACTAGAGGAAAGGTTTATGCAGTAGTGGAAACATCAATAGGCTGATGATGATCAGAATGAGTTGGATAACTTTGATTTACCTTTATTAGTAAAAAAAATATAATATTTACTAAAAGATTGTAATTTAATTAACATTAAAAATATGTCAAATAAATAAAGATGATATATATTCACATCAAAGGAACAGGATACAGGCGATTGGTAAATTATATAAAAATCCATATACATTATTATAATGATAATATAAATTATCAAATTTTAAAACAGAAGATGACATCATGATTTTATTGAAGTGTCACTGTCATAACTTAATATGGCCTGAGGTAATAGTTAATGATCTTTATAACAAATACTTCGATCCAAAGGTTCCGTTAATAAATCCTATTGTTAAAAAATAACCGTGGAGCTTTCACTTTCACAATAAAGAAAGCGAAAACACATTTTGCTAACTGTGTACCTGCCCATACAGTAATAGTTTATATCGAAACTTACTCGAATTAAACGCAAATTGTAACTTAATCCATTACATATTTAATTAATAATAATCCTTTATCATGCTGTTCTTATTGTTTTTAATCGGCTTTAAAGTAGGAGGGGATTCGGTAAATGATGAATGTCTGAACAATAATAAAACTGAAAAGAAATAAGAAAAATTGATTATTTCAAAGTAACGTGGTGATGTTGAAGTGGGACAGTTTCTGTCCTTGTCACTCACGTGCCACACTTAAGTATTAATACCTATTTTATTATTATTTAAAATAAAAGCCGAACTGAAGCTATGCTTCAGTCATGGAATAAAAAACTAAAGCTTCCATTCTTACACGCAAAATAGGCACCTAGTGTCGAGTTACGAAAAACCCGTCATCTGAAGAAAAAGACAATTTATAATTCTACAAAGATTTTTATTCGAGTGATTGTTAGTGTCACATATAGAAAGAAAATGTTTACGGTAGACGTTAGTGGTTATATATAGATATATAGTCATGCGATTAATTTGAATCCAATCGTTTAATGTTTATCAGCATGCAAATTTTATTGGTGGAACCTAAAGATATGTAGAACCAAGCCTCTAAGGTTTGGACATTATTTATTGCTATTGCTTTGATGTCACCGCTTTACTGATATACCTTATTTCGTTAATGCTGTATGGCATTTGAATAAATAAGATTATTTTATGAATATATTGTACGCTCATGAACAGAAAACGTACATCTTGAATGTACTACAAATGATTTATATGCACATTTCTCTCATTCGGTTTTCCTTTTCGAACATTTCACTTTTGATGAAGGACTAAATGGGTTAATTACTTATAAGTGGAAACTTCTAAAGAGGAAGTCTCTAAAAAAAGGACAGCACTTAAAAGCGCCTGACCTAGATGGCGACTCTGGCAAAAGTTGATTTTTGCAGGAAACGAATGGACCAAAGATCGTCATTACCGGTCCGGACATTTTAACTAACATATTAAAAAACTTAAATTTGCAAAGTTCGAAACTTAGATATCAATACAAATACGAAAAAGTACAAATAGAATATGAGTTGTTTATTGAGTTTTGAAAATTAATTTACTTTTATACATGAAAGAAAACCGGAAGGGTTGTCATGGAGAAATCAAGAAAGTACTGTAGCGACATCTAGTTTGATTTCTCATTAACAATTTTATTATAAATGTAATTTCACATACTTTGTAATGGTAAATTTAATAAAATAACGAAAATTTGGATTTTTCTACTACAATAGTCTTATTTATTTGTGAATTTTACAATATTTATGAAGGTAATGACTAACATAATGAGAACGTAATAAAATGAAAGTGTAGTAACTCATATTTTGTGACGATCGTGCAATACTGTGTATTCACAAACTCGCTTGGGATTTTTGTTCTTACATAGATACTTATGTTTAATTTTATTTATTTATTCAGTTAACAAACATTAGTAATGTTCTTATTCTACAATAAATTGAATTATGATAATAAAACGAACTGCTGCATTTTATATTATTTCTTTGTCACAATGTATATTTCTTATTTGAATAATAAATTATTTAAGTTTGTACTGCATTTCTTTATTTCGAAGAAAGGTGGGAGGGCTATTTGCATAAGTTGTTAGAACTTAGAGTACACAGGGTTACAGTTAGGGCTTTTGAGGGCCCATGTTGGTTATTTTAATGAGACTGAAGTGAAATTTGAATCCCCAGAGCGTAGGTGTTCCAAGACGTAGTATTGAATTAAATTCGAAAAAAAGTATTTTAAATTAAATTTAAACACTATAATGTGTTCCTTGATATTATTTTAAAAAGTTGCATCATCATCTCATTATTTATGAGGTCAGAAAAAGAAAACAAAAACTATTTACGACGAATTTAGAAAATTCTCAGTTTGCCTGAATGTTCTTTGTCCTGTCATATTTTTGCGTTTACTGCGTTAATTGAATTTTTAAATTTCATTACATCACATTTTCGTTTCAAAGGATAATTTTGTAAGATGGACGAATTTTGGTAAATCTGTAAAATAGGCAAGTCTAAAAGTAAAATAATATAAGTTAAATAATTAAAAAAATAAAGTTCCGCAAAATGAAGTTCATTTAAATTAAGGTTTAGAATTCCCGTTCAGTTTCGAAAGAAGTTTTTTGAATTTTGCTAACAGCCTTTCTGGTATCATTCTATGATTTACAAAAAAAAATGGATCCCTATTACTAAAAATCCGCTTTCCGTCTGTCTGTCATCAGACTGTATCTCATGAATAGTGATAGCTAGATAGTTGAAATTCACAAATTATGTATTTCTGTTGCCCATAGTGGGCAACAGAAATACAACTTTAAATACAAATGCTACAAAAAACCGAATAAAATAAATGTTTAAGGGGAAGCTCCATTTTATTCGTGACTTTTTTATAGATATATATAGTACGGATAGCTTTGTTTGCGTGCCGGACTCAAACTTATAGTATTTATTGCGCAAAATAAAGGAGCCCCGGCAAACCTTGGCACGGTCTCTGAGCCTTGTGGGCGGCAGGATTTTGCTTAAAAGGATGCTCCTTAATTGTTAATGAAATTCATATTAGAACTTTATGTTTCGAAAGAAAGTGGTTTGCATGAATTTAGTTTTAATTACAATTTGAAATTGACAATTTGTAAAGGAAAAGTTTTAGAAGCAATTTTAGCATATGTACTTAATAATCAATTTAAGAAATAATATCTTGCACATATTGTTTTTAAATATAAGAAAGCGATTCAATTACTTTTTACCTTAAGTATTTTCTTTTAATATAATTTATTTATTAATTACTAACAATAAAAAAAAATGATTTTTAGTAAATACGTAATAGTTAAATGTCATAGTATTCTTTCAGCGAAAAAAAAAACTTTATAATTAGAATAATGGCGTGATTAGACAATAAGTAATAAACCAAATTAAAGCTTTTATATTCGATCTCCGTAGCCGTTGTGCTATCTCTGAAATCCTGGTTTCGATTGCCTCGATATTATCTTGGATTTAGGTGTTGTGGCACCTTTTTTGTAGAATTCTTCTTTCATCCTTCATTGTAAGTACTTCATAATAAAAATGCAATATTAATATGGAATGGAGCTGATAATAGAGCCGTTCTTCTCCTCCTCTGTAACTAAGCGAACCAATCTTATCGAATTATGTTTCATTTGATTTTTCTTGGCAAGGACTTTGGTCCGAAATAACATTTTGTCTGATAATGGTACTGGAAGGTGGTGGAATCTCGTAATAAATAAACCAATTTTATAGAGTATTAGCTTGATGATTCATTTTACAAGATCTCTTGAATAAATCTTCAATAAATTTATCTATTATCACTTTCATTATTATCACGTATCAATGTCACTATTGCTTGGGCTCAGGGGCTCAGTGCTGATTGGTGGTGTGAACGACTGCAGATGCAGACGGGACTAACGAGTTAACGTGCCTTTCGAAGTACAGAGGAGATCGATGTAATAAATTTTTGGTCATCCATCCTATGACCGGCCTTTACCAAAGTTGCTTAACAACCGTATCGCAGACCGAGCGCGCTAACCACTGTGCCATCGCAATCCTCGAGAGTAATTTATCACATAGCAAACATTAGTTTATACATTACTTCTTACGCATAAATAAATTTATTTCTGCCAATTAAACAAGCTTAAAGCATTTGGCAGGAACGAAAGGCCGAGCCATCTGTAACCTTGACACACGGAGTGCTATTGTTTGCTAGTATGTGTGGGCATATTCAAGTGCTTTGATGATGAACGATTTACATGTCAAGTTTGAAGATCATGTCACTGATATGATGTAGTCTTTTATAATCGGATTAATATGTGAATGATTCTTCGATCTGTCCATGTAGTCACGTGGTAGGGTTTCAAGTTAAGCGGGTAGTTCACTAGACGGGCATGGCCGCGGGCAAGTCTGTGGATATGCCTGCCAGTCTAGTGAATTCCCCGCTTTAGGGAGAAATTTCAACTATGTGACGTCAAAGTACAAGCTTGTAGCTTTATAATGTGAATCATCTACTTATAAATATATATTATGAACTAGCTTTCTGCCAGCGTCTTCAATTGTGGAGTCCTTAGGGAGCTGTTTAGTGGGATAAAAGTAACCTTTATGTTAAATGCAGGCTTAGAATTATCCATATACCAAATTTCATATAAATCAGTAGTTTGCGCGAAGGAGTAATAAACATATATACATACATCCTTACAAAGTTTCGCATTTTAATATTAGAAGGATAGCTTTATAATGTGAACCATCTTTTATTTTATATTATGTATCAAAAGTAATTAAATGAAAGCTCTGTGACTATAATAAGATAATAATAATATCAATTCAAGAACAATATTATACTTCTGAATAGTGCGAAAACAAAACCCATCATAAGTACGCTTATTACTCCCAATACTTAATTTAAGTAACTGCTAGTACTTTAAATA